GGAGAGAGTCCAGGGGAGGGCTACGAGGATGGTGAGGGGACTGGAACATCTCTCCTACGAGGAGAGGCTGAGGGAGGTGGGCTTGTTCAGCCTGAAGATGAGAAGGCTGAGAGGGGACCATAGAAATGCCTATAAGTATCTGAAGGGTGGGTGTCAGGAGGATGTGGCCAAGCTCTTTTCAGTAGTGCCCAGCGACAGGACAAGGGGCAATGGGCACAAACTGAAGCATAGGAAGTTCTGTCTGAACATGAGGAAGAACTTCTTCCCTCGGACGGGGACATAGCACTGGAACAGGCTGCCCAGGGAGGTTGTGGAGTCTCCTTCTCTGGAGATATTCAAGACTCGCCTGGACAAGGTCCTCTACAGTCTACTGTAGGTGACCCTGCTTCAGCAGCAGGGTTGGACTAGATGACCCACAGAGGTCCCTTCCAAACCCTACCATTCTGTGATTCTGTAACACAAGTCATAGAATTTCACCCAGAACCCCCTGAACAAAGCCCATTATTTTTTGTCTGAGCCATGGTATGTCTTTGGTATACTTGTGCAATCCTATTTAAAAACTACAAGCAACAAAAGAATCCATAACATTCCTAAATCAAAGGTCCAAACTGAGTTACCTTCACACTCAAAAATAAAAGGCTTCCTACGTTTAGCATAAATTCTTCATGCTTGATTTATTCTTTACCGTCTTCTGGATAAACTGAATATTCAAACCACTTTTGCTCATAAGGCAATTTTGTAGACCTAGCTGGTCGGGAATCCATTGTTCACAACAAAATAATTGCTTCACACTAACACCAAGCAGCTTTTAAAAATCTGTGAATTTCACATATGAAAAAATAGCAACCTAATTATCTACATTATTCCTTGTTTTCATCTAAGTTGCAGTAAGATATACTTTGAATATGGACAAATGCTATGACTTTTTAGCTACAGGTAATTATGTTATCTAACTAAACCATAAAATTTATAAGCAATGCCACTGTGGAAGATCTTTTTTGGTCCTAAGAATTTCAAATATTTATTAGTCCTTAGAGTAAAACCTACCATTTGATAGATGAAGGAATCAATACAACATGATTTTTAAAGTATTTTCAAGCTCTAATGATTCAAGAAATGCCTGGTGGGTTTTCCAGCAACTTCTACACCTCCCACTGATATGTTTGTAGGATTTGTAGTATTCTTCATGCATCTAGGGCCCACTGAAACCTTGGAAATCAGGAGCCTGGGCACTTGAGAAAATCTAAGCAGGCAATAATGCTTCTACTGCTGCTTTAATCCCAAAACATCTGGATTTAAGGAAGTGTTGTCACTGCACAAATTAATCTGTGCACTACACATATTTTAACCTTCCAAATACCTACTGTTTACTTAGAAGAATCTCCAGTCTGGGCTTTGGGGTATCTTCAGCCCAGGTTCCCTTACCCAGCCAGATGACCTGAGAGAATATAGGCATTGCTTCAGTGTG